TTTAAAGATCATTATTTTGTGTATTTGGTGTAACAGAATATGTTGACATTATTGTAGGTCCTCTATGCCCCGCCTCTCTCAAACGCATCGTTTTCAACAAAGCCCCCTGCTTTGATAAGCGCAGTCTGCTCTGATTGGCCAGCTGACCCAGTGCATTGTGATTGACCGAACGTCACAAGCACGCGCTGGAAATGTAACGCCCCTTACCATAATCGCGAGCTTCAGCTTTCAAAGTAAATATCAAGACAGTTAATAATGCCGTTAGTTTTACCATGAGTTCAAGCCCGAAAGGGCAACAGAGTTGCGTGACAGACACAGTGATGCTGCAGTACACAAGCCGCGGTTAAGACAGCTGACGTGCTATGATTTCTGACAGGCAGTTCACTCTCCTGTGATGTGACCCTGTTCCCCTCACACACACACACACACACGACGCATTACTCTGCGCTGCGCAAAACTCCGCATTTGAACAGTCAATAGCAAATACTTAAACTAATAAACTTAAACTGATTCAGAAGCGCCAGATTTTCAAAGCAAAGTTTTTTTTTTTTTTTTTAGAAAAAGCCTTTGTGCACAGCCAGTCTGTGTACCAGCGTAGACATGTGGGGGCATGTTAGAACGAGCCATGTTATGTAGGCGTGGTTGACTCGTAACTTTTATAAAGAATATCTCTTTGGATTTGAGACTTTAGTCTTTGCAACTTTACAGATCGTCTTTATGCACCAAGAGTTTGTAACACTCCAAAGAGAAAGGAAAACTTGAAATCGCACCATATGACCCCTTTAACTTCGGGCCAGGCCCGTGCGCCCGATGAAACCGTCTATATAAAGCTTGAAGCATCAGAATCGGCATCGGTATCAGCCGATCACCATGACAAGAAATTGGTACTCCGTATCGGCTGCAAAAATCCTGATCGGAGCATCCCTAGTTTTAAACTAATCAAGATCTTCTTCGCATTGAGCTTCTATATTTCTCTAATATTTTGGATGAATAACGCAGCAGCGGCGCGTCTCGTGGGCTAGACTAACAAAACATTAAAATGAAACAATGTCACTTACAACATCATCACCGCATCTCGCGCGGCACTAATGACGCTCCCTCGCACTCCTAACATTCAAATGCAAATGTTTATTTTCAATTCGACTAATATTCATTCTTTATTCACAATCTCCTCATCACAGGCAGGCGCAGCACTCAATTCAGCATGTGTTCGTGTTTGTGTGTGCTGTCTGCGTCACTCATAGCACGTGCCTATATCGTGCACTATATCTAACATTTTTTCTATCGTTATCAAAGGAGGTGTATCGTCGATAAATACCGATACCGTTTTATCGCCCAGGCCTAGTTGTAGGTATCATTCATGTGCTTGGAACAAATGGTGTGGAAAGAGTTGCGTGCCAACGTTTAATAGCCCTAACTTGAAGTGCTTGACTAAGGGAAGTCGTGGCCTAATGGTTAGAGAGTCGGACTCGTAACCCAAAGGTTGTGAATTCGAGTCTCAGGTCCGGCAGGAATTGTAGGTGGGGGGAGTGAATGTACAGCGCTCTCTCCCACCTTCAATACCATGACTGAGGTGCCCTTGAGCAAGGCACTGAACCCCCAACTCACTAAGCAATCATCAATACTTGTTGGTTACACATTTTAATTTTCCATGCTGGTCACAGAATATAAATACACAGCTCAAGCACAAAAGAATCTCATCAATCTGGTGCAATTTGTTTAGTTTTTTTAAAGCTAAATACTAATTGTTCAAGAGCACTCAAGTAAAATGCATTCCTTCAAAAGATTTCGAAAGCATCTTAAGAGCTCTGTGGGCTGTTTATTGTCTATAGCCAGACATAAAGACACATTAGACACCTCATTGCAGAACTTTGACTAGAATCCCATTGACAAAGAGAATTGACTCAAGATATCGAGCATATCTGATGCGCCTGTGTGTGTGGCCCAGATAATTGTGTCCTTTGTACTTTGCATTTCAATCAGTGGAGAAAGAATTTGACCAAATCAACAGCAGTGTCGTGTGGGCCGGCCAAGTGAATTGTCTACCGAGAGAAAAGCAATGCTGGGTTAGAAAGGTTAAGATAAAGTTTGCTTTGAACAAATTCCTCCTTTGATCAGGACTTTGGCTTGAATGCTTTTCTGTGGGAAGTCACTGCTGCTTTTGAATGAGCTGGTTATTGTTCTGTTTTATTATTGTGTTCATTCACCATCCTCTATACAGGTCTACCTCTTTGTGAGAAATGGCTTAGGCTCTTTTTAAAGAAGAAACTAGGTCTCACAAACATGAATACACATCACTAAAAGTTTTGTATACATTCATTAACAACAAATTTCCCCAAAAACGTTTTCGGTAGGAAAACAATTTTCTCAGTCTGTTTTTGTCTTTTTCTTCTGTCCCCTTACCCATGAAGAAAAATCAGTACATGTTAATTGACTCTGGCTATATCAGCTGAGAATAGGGACAGCTCTTAAAACAAAGATACCAGTATGTGTGCCACAGACTTTCTGCGCTTTATTCCCGGGCCCTCTAGTGTGATTTATGGTGACCACATTATGGGCCCTTTTCTAGTCCGCATCAGTATGGAGAGACGGTCACAGGCAGGGTTGGACTGACGCATTGTCATAGTCACTGATATTAGACCATCACTCTGGTTAGTGATCAGTATCTGTCAATGCTGGTTGCCATGGGGCTGGTAAACTACTCCACAAAGACCAAATAACACAAAGCAACATGATTAGCACAACCACAAAAAACCTCTACAGATAGTTAATGCACAGTCATCCAGATTATATCGTCACTTGATAGTGTATCCCCGTCTGTGCTACACTGGAACAGTGTGATTCAAACTTGGCACAGATATTTAAATATCTGTAGATATATAAAAATTGTATTTATTTATTGTGATTGGTCATGTGTTTATTTTATTTTATTTTTTATCACAATTATTTTAAAAGTTTTATGTGTCTCTTGATTTGATAAATCTAAGTATTCTTATGGTGGGTCAACTTAAAATGATCAACTTAATAAAGTAACCAATTTTCAGGTAATATATTTTTATTTTATTAAATTTTTTCACAATATTTTTTTAATAGTTGTATGTTTCTCCTCACGTTTATAAATCTAATAGTACTCTTAAAAGTGAGTAACTAATTTTCAGATATTTTACATTTTCATTTTATTATTTTTATTACGTTTTGTTTATAATCAGTTATTTTCATAGTTTTATGTTTCACAGGTTTAGTTTTTTTTTAGACTATCTCTCTCTCCATCACTGTGAACTAGACACCTGAATATGCTCTTTAAAATGCATAAACTGCGCTTCATTACACAGCGCGTCTGGAAATATGCCAGATTATAAAATTCTACTCCATCATTTTCTCATCATTTAATGAATTACTGCTGCCGTGATTGCTTGAATATGCACACAAATGCCACACTTGATAAAATCCTGATAAAATTAATAGTGCAGCGTTAATTGTACTAGGCAAATGAGTGAGTTTTGTGAATGGGGAACAATGTGTAATAAACCTAATTGGCATAGAAAGTGGGAGTGTTTGCACTGAAAAGAATGACGATGTAATTTTAATAAAATGCAGTGCTAATTTGCTCCTTTGGAGGCGGTGCAATTGGGTTCCTGAGAACGAACCTGTTGTTGGAAAGTTTCTGCAGTGCTTTAAAATGTCATAATGTGGCTCTACAGAAACTGCTGAGTCTGCAGTTCATTCTGAATGCTCGGTTGTGGAGCAGAATTTACTTGTAGCTGCTGGGCTTGTGTCTGCGCTGAGTCTTGTGTCTGATGAGAAGGTTAGGCTGTGTATAATATGTGTTAAGGCAGAAAATATTGACTTTCAGATTTCAGCAGTAAGCAGGGCAGACAGAAAATACTCATTCATCATGTGGCAAGATGGGCAGTTTACTAGTTTCAAACACATTACTGAAAAAAAAATCAATTTCATAGCCTCTGGTCCTTTGAGTCGAGGGGTTTGAACAAAAAGAGACAGACAATGAAAGCCAAAAACCCTACTCCTTTCTGTTTTCATTTTCATTTTTATGACTTGTTGTTAACTTTTACCTCTGCAGATAGCAGTCTCTGCGGCCAAATCCACCTCCTCGACCGATGACTTATACCTGGAGGAGGCGGGGTCAGGAGGTTACCCGGAAGATGATGACGACTTCACTTCTGGATCAGGATCAGGTAAGAAGTGCCTCATCGATTCTAGGTGCACAATCTGATCCCTTCATGTTGGATATTGCCGTTGAAGCACAGCATGTGTTTGTCTTTCAGGAGCTGGAGAAGTTATTGAGGAATCTGTCACAGTAAAAACATTGTTCATTATGCCTAAAGCAGAGCCCACACAGGACTCCACCAAAGACTTCACACCGAAAGTGGAGACATCTACATCACTCGATGTCCCCAAAGACACAAAGAAACGAGTCAGGATAGAGGTGTGTATCACCTGTAAGGTCAATCACGGAGGTATTAACATCCATCTCAGGTGATTTGATCACAAGTGGTAGTGACATGGGAGTAGAAGGTCCTTTATTTAAGATGTATCTGACAAGCAAAACCGATCTTCAAACCAGGAATAAATGGGGTCTCTTGGTCTCAAGTGGATCTATGAGTGTAAATAACATTAATGTACTGTCATGCAGCCAACAAAGAGCCCACTGCTGTCATAAAGTCATCCATCACTCCTAACATAGTGTAACACATCATCTTCACTCTCTTTAGTCTCCAGTTCCTGCCACAGAAGACTCGCGTAGAAACCCAGTCACAAGCACCACAAGCCTCCCTCGATCACCCCTGGACGTCCAGTCGGAAAATCTCTTCCAGAGGACAGAGGTTTTGGCAGGTCTGTAAAAGAAATTTATAACTTAACACCAAGACACTTTCGAGTGTTTTTAGGAGATGCCATAATGTATATATGTTTGATCAAGAATACAGTAAAATTTTGTAACAGTGTAAATTCTTTAGTACCCCTTGATCAATTTAACGCATCCTTGCTGAATAAAAATAGTTATTAAAATAATAATAATCTTACTGACCCCAAAATTTTGAATAGTAGTGTAAATAAATGTTTTTATAACAATTTTGCTACTATATTAGAAGAAAATTCTAAGAAATTCTTGCTTAACAAAATTCTTGAAAGTGTGCTCTTTCTTAAACTTGAATTGCAGCCCTCACTGGGAGATTTAAGAGTTCACTGCACATTTCAACCAGAACGCCCACTTTATCTTTTGTCTTAGGAGAGATGCACAAAGCATAAAGAGCATGTTACCATACAACTCCCTTAAAATAACAGATCAATTCCTCTATGTGCAAAGGCCAAATTCTTAAGTTAAGCACACTTAGTTTTAATATCCTGTCAAATAAAGACAGAACCACAATGAGATGAAATAATGTCTTCCTGTTTTGGGTCGACACACTTCCTCTCGCTCAATCTCCTGACCCTCCAGCAGTGTTAAGGGGTTCCTTATTTAATTATTTGATTACTGGACATAATCTGGATCTGCTTTGTATGAGCCATAGACGCCCAGATGGCACTTTAGTCACGTAGTCGGACAGGAGTGAGATTTCACATATACTGTGAGAAAGCAGCAACTCAACTATGTCTTATCTTAATTGAAATAAACTGACTCATTAGGCCTTCCTAAATCCTCTGTTCCAGCTGTCATTGCGGGTGGAGTTATCGGCTTCCTCTTTGCCATCTTCCTCATCCTCCTTTTGGTGTACCGCATGAGAAAGAAGGACGAAGGCAGCTATGACCTCGGGGAGAGGAAGCCATCTGGAGCGGCCTATCAGAAAGCTCCCACCAAGGAGTTTTACGCATAGACTCACTCATGTACAACCGAGCTTCACCAACCAGAGTGATGGTGTAATATCTGTGACTACGACAAACTCGTTCTGCATAAAAAAAAAACATAAAGGAAAGCTTTTGCATAGAGTATTGTAATTAAGACCTTTTCTTTCCTCTTTTTTTTTATGAAAAAAGAGCAAGCATTGCTTATTTTATGGCAAATCTCTCTGTATTGAAACATTATTTTCTGTGAATTTGAAAAGGCTGAAAAGAAAAAAAAGAAACACAAAATCTGTAAAGGTGAGGATATCCGCATCCATCTTCTGTCAAAGGAGCTGACTACTTTTTAACTGTAGCAGTATGTATTTGTAAAGAAAATTTTGAAGTGGAGTAATTGAATATAATTGTTCTGTATCAGTCCTGACTTCATTTCTCATTGTTTTTTTTTTGTTTTTGTTTTGTCCTAGCATGTCTGACGATCATAAGTGTTTCATTAATTTATCATATTCTCAGATGTTGAAAAATTACTTTCTGTAGTTTTCAGAACTCTTTGTCTAATAACTCTAAACGAGTCAATGTAAATGTTCATTTTATTATTTCACAACATGCAGTTCAGCCATTTTCTATTCTCTTCTTTTTTTTTTTTGGTGTGTAGAACCCATGTCTTGCAAAATGATTTGATTTGAGTTTCATCGCCGCTTGAGTGTTTGTAAGTTAAGAAAAACGACTGGTGCCATTTGAACCCTCTCATTCATCCGTTCTCGTCATGGCGACTCTAAAGCTTCTCGCATGGTTGAAAAGAGGCTGATTTATCGACCTGATGAGCCCAGAGCGTGTCCTCTGTGATGAAAGTTTGAGGTAACTCATACTGGCGATCTGACACAGCCTGCCCACCTTCAGACATGTATTTCCTTTGATCAGAGTGCCGTTCTGATGTTTCAGTGATGAAAAGCTCGCATTTTTCTCCTGTCACACTGCAGTGATCTGTTTTATTAGCTCATGGACAGAGTAGACCTGATTTTTTTTTCTTACTGTTACAGGCTTTGCTTTCCTACTGGGCCCAAAGAAATGGGCAACTTGGAATCACTGCTGGGGAATCATTGAAATCATTCATTTTTAAACAGTTTCCACTAGTTTGGAATAGTTTCAAATAACTGAAATGAGGTTCATCCACCCAGTTTGAGTGCTGTTAATGTATCCCTCCAGTGCTCATCAAAAAAACGTATGGAGGCCAGTAATGGCCCCTACAGATCAGTATGATTAAATTCCCACTCTTTAGATCCATATAAAGGTTGTGAATTTGCCCTGAGAAGCATGAGTCCCTGTGTATCTTTCCTTCCTTGCCCTCTTGATATACCCATCTGTGACCAACACCCCAAAGTGACTGTACTGACCCTGACCTAATCTAAGCTGGAGCTAAACAAAGCAAGGTACTGCGAAAACATAGGCAAACCCAAAGACTCATTTGATTTTCACATTGCTGTGTATTCCTTTGGCCACATTTGAGTTTTTTTTTTAGTTTCAATGTTAGTTGTTAGTTTTATTGTTTTTGAGTAGATATCTGACCTTTGCATCCAATTACTTATTCATGTATGGGAAAAATCTATATAGAATTATATATAAATGTATATTCACAAATGTTTTAAACCTTGCCTTAAAAGTGCCTACCATTTGGAAACGTGTAAATGTCTGTCGTTTAGACGCGACGTGTACGCCAGAATGGCTAGAGTGATCGGTATTGTGTTAGAACAGCAGACGGAAAGGGAAATTTTTTTTTTAGTTGTACAAAAAGCAGACAGTATTGTACCTATAAGTTAAAACAACACTACTGAATAAACATTGTGGCCTAAATATGATGGTTTTCTTTTTTTATCTGTCAGTCTGTCTGTACAGCCATCCATTCATCTATTTGTCATGTCCAACCTGTTTTGTCTGTCATTCTATCTGTTCTGTCTGTCTGTGTCGGTCGGTTTTTCTATCTGTCTTTCTATCTGTCACTCATTCTTTCTATCTGTCAGTTGTCCTGTTTATCTATCATTCTCTGTCTGTTGTTTTGTCTGTCATTCTGTCTATTGTTCTATTTGTCTTTCTGTCGGGTGTCATTCTCTCTCAGTTTTCCTATCTCTGTCATTCTATCTATTGTTATATGTCTGTCTATCGGTCGTTCTATCGGTCAGTCGTTCAATCTATCGTTCTGCCCGTCTGTGATTCTATCTACAGTTCTGCCTGATCTTTCTGACATTCTATCTATTTTATCTGTCTGTATGTCCATCCATTGATCTAAATAGTAAGTGTGTGTCCAGAATCTCTTTCAGGGATTGTAAAATGGGAACTGAAGGGATTTATGTTGAGAGTGTTTACACATGGGCTCAGCAGTGCAGATTACCTCTGTATTTATTAATCTTTATTGGTTTTCCACTGAGTTTACTGTAACACTGCTTGATCGCAGATTTTCTCTTATTAAGATCAGTGTCATGGTCTTGGTGGAATATAAATTACTGACACTGGAAATATTAATCTGAATATTACTCTGTAAGATCATGGCAGTATTTGGATTCATAGCACCAAATTGCTATATCTTTTTTTATTATTTTCTGTGAGAGTATTGTTGTGCAAGTATAATCCTCCAGAGAGAAACTCTGAATGAAAAATAGAGTAAGATTTAAATGCTCTCATGTAAACATTGGTATGCTCCTGCACTCTCCATTCTCTGTGTTTGCTTTCAATGATGTTGTTTTCACATATAATCGAGGGATCAAGTCTGGCCTTAGCCTTGGCAAATGTACATGACTTACTCTCTAGACCGTGATGTGTAGCATCTGCCTCTGAGCCAGTCTCATCCATTCAGTTGTCCTGATTATGAGTCCTGAATTTATGGCTCCCTGATCAGTGCCCAGTGTTTGTGTATGTCCATGTTGCCGTGTCCCTTTAATTTATAGGGGCTTTCTCAATATGGGCAGGGAGAGGGGAAGGAGAAAAGGGGAGCACATATGGAGCACAAAAGGCCACCGGGGCTTCTCTTTGAGAAACGGGGCTGATTCAGTAAAGAGGCCAACCATGGATGCCAAACCATGCAGAAACTTCAAGGAAATGCCATCCAAAGTAAACATACTTTCATAAGAGCTTATGTCCGAAGGGCAAAAGAAAGAGCTTCAATCCATGAGTCAAAAGCTGGTGTACCTCAAAGGTACAGCTTCTTTTGATTAAGGGTTTACATTACAATAATGTTGAGGCTTTCTTTTTTTGTAGACTATATATAAACAAAAGTGCCCTTGAGTGTATATTTTGGAGACCGGTGTGGTTTCTCTGGACATGTTTCAGTGAAATCGGTCAAGTAGTAGGACATGGTGCATTCAATTGCTTGGAGTATAGTTCATTTAGCTAAAAATGCAGAATTAAATGGCATGATGATAGATGACCAGCTTTTTTTTCATTCATTATCATGAGTGGAATTGGAGTTTATGACAAGAATGGTTGGTTTTTCAACACTCTTGTTAAAACTTACTTTCCTGGTCTCAGTACAATGGTCACTTACCAAAATAAAAGGAAAAAATATATATAACTATCACATATCACATAATTGTGATCTTCATTTGAACCATCTCAATATCAGTGATTAAAATCCCATGACCAAGATTGATCTTTTACTCAATGCCAGTGTTTCCTGCTCCTCTTTTCAAACTACAGCCACACGACAAAAAAGTCATATTTTAACAGCTTTCATTGATATGATAAAAATGGATGTGTAACAGATAATTATCAAGAACACGTGTTGAGTTTAGGGTTGGGCTATATCTATAAAGTGAAACATCGCGACGGACCAGTGTGGGTTCTAGCTTGTATGCGCCCTGAGCGAACCACCCCGCCTGCCACCTCTAAATGAAATAAATTTTACATAAATTTTGCTATTTTATATAAATGTATACATTTAGGTTATTGCAAATTCAGACAAATAAATACAAAAAATACAATAAATCCCTCCAAAACTGCAATTGTACAGTAAAAATAAAGTGAGTGATGTTACATTAAAAAAAAAAAAAAACTACATTACAATATCAAATTTTACTGTCTGATTATGTAAGCTAATTGGACAGAAAAAGGATTGTTGTTGCCCTATGTGTTGTAATAACAACAAGCAACATAGCATAACTTTAGCAATATATTAGCCTATTTTAGCTAGAGGAGTGATAGCTGCATACATGCCATTTATCTTTACCAAGTAAAATAGACATTAGATCTTATATGCGTCCAAATGAACTGGAGTAAATTAGAATTGAATTGGGAAATCTTTCCCAGCCCTATTCAGAGGTCCGTGGAATATATATGGGATCACCATCTGGCACGAACGTTGCGTTTTAATCAAGCACCTGACATTTCTTTCCATAACAGGTCGTTCATTATCATGTTAAACCGAATCTCATCTCGGTGGAGAACCGATGTCAGGACCTAACCTGTAAGGAGGCCATATTTTAAAATAATGGTTATTATTATGGGAAAGACTTTGGTACAGATGTTTAAACGAAAAGTGCTTCAACTATTTGTGAATTCAACTCGACCCTTGAGGGCTTTTTAAATTGGGTGTTAAAACGAGAGGTCAGGAATATCAGTGAAACTTCAAACAACAAATACCTGCCTGGTTTTAATGGCACTTCTGTTGGAGGAAGGGTCGAATTTAAGTCTTTTCTAATCTGTGGCACAGGTGCTATTCACTCAAGATTATTACCAAACGCTGCATAATCCTCCACTCTCAAGTGAGAGGTTTAAACTTTGAAAGTGAAATTACTTGGTGAAGAAGATGAATCATATTCCAATCCCTGACAACAAACTCAATTTATAGAAATGACAAGTTTTTCAGTTTGCCACTTAATCATTCCCGCTCTTGATTAAACACAGACTGGTAATGAATGCCAATATGGCACCTTGGTTCCTCTTGATAGGATTTGGAAAGTAATTTCTTATGAACTCAGGCTCTCTGGCGTCTTGAGCCCTGTCTATGCAGCAGCATGATAGCGTAGTTTAATTTTAATACGCAAAGCCTCAATGCAAATTAAAGTTTGTTGTGATTAAGACCCTCTGATGGGTCCGTTTATGATGATTATGTTTTAATTAAAAGCAAAGCTCTAGAGCAAAAATAATACAAATTTATTGAGTGCTCTTGAGATGGTTACACTGAAGTTTGAGCAAATTAATTTGGAACCGCTGAACTCAAAGCCATTTGTGTTGATGACATATGGTACTAGATCTGTTGCAAATGAGCCACTAATTTGGAGTCTAGGCGACGCCATGTTTAGCTCTGTTATGGTGAAGGTGCTCAAACCTGCTCCTGGAGATTTACCTTCCTCTTCCTCAGGCACAACACACCTGCCTGTAATTTTCAGATTGATTTGCTGCTTCAATGTGTTCAGCATGAATTTTAAAGCTTTTGCACAGATGACAACGTTGTCAACACGATCCCCGTTCACACGGAAACAACTAAAAACACCATATAATACAGTAGTTGCCCTTACGAAAATTAACCATGGTTTTATTGTAGTAAAAGTGTAGTTACACTGAAGTTTGAGCAAATTAATTTGGAACCGCTGAACTCAAAGCCATTTGTGTTGATGACATATGGTACTAGATCTGTTGCAAATGAGCCACTAATTTGGAGTCTAGGCGACGCCATGTTTAGCTCTGTTATGGTGAAGGTGCTCAAACCTGCTCCTGGAGATTTACCTTCCTCTTCCTCAGGCACAACACACCTGCCTGTAATTTTCAGATTGATTTGCTGCTTCAATGTGTTCAGCATGAATTTTAAAGCTTTTGCACAGATGACAACGTTGTCAAAACGATCCCCGTTCACACGGAAACAACTAAAAACACCATATAATACAGTAGTTGCCCTTACGAAAATTAACCATGGTTTTATTGTAGTAACCATGTTTTTTGGTGTATTGATTACCATTTGTATAACCACAGTTTTACTTCAAATATCATGGTTAAACTGTGGTTAGTGTAACAAAACCTTGGTAAATTTGTGGTTACCATGGTTTAACTATAGTAACCATGGTTTTTTGGTTTTATTTGTGGTAAAACCATGGTTAATTTTGTGATGTCACTTTGTAAAGAAACACTTACAGGCATGCGCTCATACCTACAGACTGAACACGTAATAATGATGTCACCGTTATCACACATTTATTTACACGGATATGCTAACAGTCTCGTTTTCAAAAACTTGCACTTTGAAACCCGTTTTCAAAAGTTTGCGTTTTCAGGCCCCCAAGGCAGCACTGTCATGTAAATGAATAAAAAATGCATGCAATTTTTAGTTGGAACGGGTGTTGTGTAAACTAGATAATACTAGTTATAATCAAGTGATATATAGTTATAACACTTATTATAATCACTATATATTTAGACATTGAAAAGACAGAAATGAAACAAATAGAAAAAAAAACAATCATGAAAACTAAAATAAAAATGTATAATAAAAACTCATCAAATGTAAGATGTAAAATAAGGTTGGTTTTGTCAGATTGAGCACTTTATATTTAAAATTTTAGAAAACAAACAAAAAAATGATATTGTTTTTACTTGGTGACATCAGACAGATGAATCAGGGTTATTATATTTACCTAAAACTAAAACAATAAAAAACATTTTTTACTAGAAATAAACTAAACTTTAAAAATGAATTAAAAACAAAAAATATAATAGTATCTCAGTGATACTAAAACAACACTGAGATGAATGCAGCAGTGCATGATCGTTCATCTTTCTAGTGACCTGGGTGTTCAGTGTCGCTGAGATTATAAGAAGAATGCCAGGATGGAGCACTTAAAATAATTACAAAATGTTTGAAGCAAAAA